GAAACGTCAGGACAATAAAACTCTTGTTCCAGTGATCGCTTCTTCTTCTGATAGCAGTGTTTCTTGAACCTTCGGTATTCGGTTTCCACCGCTGGCGATGGCAATGGGTTGAACCGTCCAGATCTGTTGCAGCGGATCGTCACGCGTGTAGAGGTACAGTTTGAGACATCCTCAAGGCTGGCTAGATCAGGCATGATCGCAGCCGTACCAAGTACAAGTAAGGACAAGCAGAGTTTCTTTGGTTGGCTAATCTCTATGTTCTTTATCCGCATTTTTAGCTCGCCGGTCACAATCCTCGAAGCTTTCTGCTGTCTCGGAGAGGGCGCAGCATTAACTTACGCGTGCATTCGTTGCACATAAATAAACCGGCCTATCGCGTACCTCTTCCCCGCTTCCCAAATCCATTATGTCCTAATGGCAAAACTGGAGGTACAGTGGCGCCGTAGCTACCAGGGTTAAACAGCCCGTCACAGCCCTACTTCATAATAATCGAGTTCCAAAGAAGGCATTCTCAGATCTCCAACGAATGAAACATTCATAAACCAGTTAAGAAAGTGCTATTGTAGCCCGGTCTTTGTTCCAAAGCTAGCATTATTTGGAAAATTTCCAGTCCACGACTATACACAGACAATCATGTAACCTCGTCAGTTGGTGACCTTCCAAGCCACGGATTCTCACACACCGTGATCATCTAACCGCGTGTCAGCTTGTTAAAAGTGAAGAACCAGGAATCATTTTACGTCCCTTTTGGATGTCCATCCGTTTGCTTCGATTAAGATTTCACATTCACAGCCCCTACCTTGGTGTCTGTTTCTTCAAATATATGAATGTGATGACCTGATGAGGATTCTCAAGGCCTACCTAGTTTTTTTCGTCACATATGAATACCCACGAAGGCGAAACGATCGTTTTCAGACCATAAAGAGTTGTGTTGTTCTTTTGGAGGTTGATTAAACTTTATGATCTTCTGTTGCCTTCTTTCATTTTCAGAAAGATAGATCTAGTGGTTGAAAATGAAATTCCTCAGAACACGTCCACCATCACAAATGTCGTTGGGGTGATTCCTGGTTCATCAAACGAAGCGGACCAATATATAATTTTTGGTAACCATCGTGATGCTTGGGTTCAAGGAGCAAGTGATCCAGGTTCTGGAACTGCAATTTTACAAGCTGTGGCGTTTGCTTTAGGAACGGCCTACTCTAAAGGTTAGTCCACTATCTAAAGCCGATCAGCCTCTGGTGCCGTTCATCACTTCAGCCCAAGGCATAAGTACTTTCTACGCAAAACTTTTATTCATTTCATTTTGGCTTAAACGCTTATTAAAATCATGCTGTGTCACTTATTCAATCTTTTATAACATATTTCCGCCTTCCAATCTGGCTATTGTTGCTTGCGATGGATGCGGCACTTGTGGGTCTGATTGATCCAGCCGATCTTGATGATATTCCTCACGGTCGTGGTGATTTGCCGCAACTTTTACCTGTTACGGCTGTGATCCTGCCTGAGCTACCTGTCCTCGATGATGCCCTAGATTGTACCTATTCAAGCGTGACGATCCGTGGCAGCAGACCTAGACTGTTCACCAGCGACGAAGCCCGAATGTCGAAGGTCCAAGCACAAATGCCATGCCACTTAGTCAAACTAGGTTTTGCGTTGACCCCCTGTTCAACGCGCTCAATTTGACAACAGTGTCGGATCAGCGGTGGTAACACTGAGCTCATAAGGTTGATAACGAATAACATGCCCAAACTACCTCAGACGCCTTTCTTGGCTGGCCTGGGATATCCTTGCGCTGTCACAACAAGTGCGGACTGCCTCATTTGAGACGAAGTCGACGTACTTCACCCAAAGGAAATTCTTGAAGCAGTGGTGGTCAAATACTTCCAGTTTTCGTTCATTTTCACGCGCATAGTTCAGCATTCGCAGGCATGGGGACCGACAGGAATCACTGTACACGCGAACCTTCGTAGT